TGGCGCAAAATATTGACCATTAAAAGAGAAGCATATTATTAAGTTAAGTGTTGCAAACTGTTGTAGAGATCGATGAGGATGTTCGGGTGGATGAGCGGCTTTGAGTGTCGCCTAAGATGATTTGATCACATAAAATGTCGGCGTTCCAACTACCCGATCATGAGAGTAGATATATTATATCCTGCCTATATTAATAAAGGTAGTCATAGTTCTAAAAATTATTAATTAGAAAGTATTAGAAATGACTTTTTTTATTATATTAAATAAGAATTTGACTCTTAATAAGACACGCTAGCTAAAAATGATTCATGTAGCTGATCCCACGTAGTAGGATAAAATTTTGATGATGCCCTTGCTGATAGTGTTGACCCGGTTAGGAGAGTAGATGTATTTGATTTAACCTATGTTAAGAAGGGTAGATGTAGAACTAGAAAGACTTGGTTAGAAAATATTTGAAATGACCTTTCTTTATTAGATTTAAATGAGAATTTGACTCTTAACAGGACACAATGGAGAAAAATGTTTCATGTAGCTGACCCCACGTAGTGGGATAAAAGTTTGTTGTTATTATTGTTGTTGTTATTGTTGGTTCATCATTGTGATTTGAGCATATCGTAGGTTCACACGCATGATCCTTATCAGCTTCCAAATTATCAATTCTATTTTTAACTAGATTAATGTTATCACCCGTTTGTTATAATAATATCAATTATTGTAATTTCTTTTATTTATTTTCCATTGCCAGCCTGGCATGCTTGTACATTCTCTTTCTAGTTTATTAGGGATTTCTCCCTCAAATTTACTCAAAAATATAAAAAAATTTGGAATAATTTTGATGTGTCTTGTATTGCATTAGAGAAAGCAGGGAACCACAAATTAGAGAGAGAAGATGATTGAGAGAAATGAGACCTCATCAAGGTAAAAGAATTGGATAAAAGTATGCAATGTTCTACTCCATTTCTCAACCTATTATCGAGTGAGAGGAAAGATGATTTAGATGAGACCTTCACAAGGGAGAAGAATTGGATAAACATATGAAAAGCTCTAGTCCATAAATTTAGCTGATCAATTATTCCTTCACGTAGACCAAACTCTTAATCGTTCTAGCTGAGTTGAGGAGGGGAAGGGGGAATAAAGGGAAAGAGGGAATTAGTTTATTAGACTAGTGTAATGGAGATAATATCTTAAACAGTAGATATACCAATAGAATAAATAACTAAGATTTTTTTCCCTCGTCAGCATAAAGATCTATAGGTACATAATTTGTTGCAATTCTAGGTTTTTCTTGCATTAGTCACCTAGATGGCTACTATTTAGATGATATTCAAGTTAGTCAGCATCTTGATTTTGGTTAGCTTGGGTTATAATAACATAATATATAATAACAGTCGTTAGATTTTAGTGAACCAAAGTAGAAGTATTTGTTTTTAAGATAAAATGATTGTGGGTTGTTGCTTGCATTCGGCCAAGATGTACTGTAAAAATCTTGGGAAGCCTAGTTACCTGTAAAATATGACGAGAAGTGAAAGAACATAAGGAACTTTGATGAGGACATCGTCAACAATTTCGACACGTGTACCATCGGAGACGCCGGAGATCAACGGCCTCAATCAGGAGTTTATATTTTGAGTCATTTTATGTAGTAGTTTATTTTATTTTTCAGTTTTTACTGTTTTACTCTTATGGGTGGTCATTTGATATTGTAACCCCGAGGGCATTTATATCTTTTAGTTTTTGTTTCATTTTGGCCTATTTATAGGAGGCCTCATGCATTGTACTAGGGGATGATTATTGATGAATGAAATTTCTTTCCGTGAGATCTCTTTGTGAGTTCGTAAGATTTCCCAAGATCTCTTTGTGAGTTCTTGAGAAGATAGTTTTGTGGATCTCTTTGTGAGTTCTTGTGGAAGTGGTTTTCAAGATTTGTAGTTTGATAAATTTCTTTTCCCTACACCAATCCCTTCTTCCCCTACTTAGCCAAAAACTCCCCTTCTCCCCAAAATTTCCCACCCCACCCGCTCCACCGCCGGCCTCCCTTGGCCGGTCTAGCCACCGGCGGCCCTCCCAGCTCCCTGCCGACAGCCGCCGGGTCCAAGCCCCACCCGTGGCCACCCTCCTTGCCGCCGGCACCCTCTTGGCCCTCTTCCTTTTCAAATTTTAAATTCTCCTTTCTTAATTTGCTTTCTTAATTAGGCTTTGTCTATTTAGGAAAGACATTTAAAGGAGTTACCACCGATTTGAAATTCAAACTACTTTCCCTCTCATTGTAATTCTAATTTGGGAGTTATTTCAAATTCAATCAATTATGAAATTAAAATTCATATTTGAATAGAATTAATTAACCCCTTGTGGTCCCCACATGTTTAATTCCAAACCCCTCTCTCTCCTCCCCGAAATGGCCGGCCCCCTCCTCCTTTCTTTCTCTCTCCACTTTGCCACCTAAGCAACATTTAATCCCCCCCTAAATCCCTCTAGTAACCGTTGGCCTCATTACTCCCTTAATTTGGTTAATTTGAATTTCAAATTGGCCCATTCCTTTTAATAAAATCTGAAATTAAAACCTCAGATTTTTCCCTCAAATTCCACTTAACTTGAAATCTAATTTCAGATTTCTAATCCTCACACCAAGCCCCTCCTAGCTCAAGCAGCCCCTTCCCTCTTCCAGGTGTTGTCCATGATTTTCGGGACATACAAATTGCTGTCCAGAATTTTCTGGGCATGCAAAACTGCTGTCCTGAAGTTCTGTTTGCTGTCCAGGAGATTTCGGTAAGTTGAGCTGCAGCCCTGCTCTCCAGAAACCCCATGTTTACTGTCCTGAAGAATCACAGCTGTTGTTCCAAGATTTCAGCAGTTTTCTAGTGCTGATTCGCCATCCGGAAGGCTCTCGTTGGTTGCCCAGAAGATCCCACACGGCTGTCCACATGCAGGACGTCTTCAAGTTCACCACCGGACTCCGGATCCTCTCCCTCTCCCTCAAATCAGATCTAAGAATTTAACGACTGTGAACTCTCTCCCAAATCTCCTACCTTCCTAGTCGCCTCAAGCACATTCTTCCCGGACGTTGGATGCTCACTATTCATCCTGTGGATTCCCCGTCGCCGGCTACTTCTCCAACGGACTAGACTTTGGGCATCATTTGTCTCATAGTGGCATTACTCGGTTTGCTCTCAATCTTCCTCCATTAAAGCCCCACCAACAAGAGCGTGAGTGAGAGACTCTAGGTGAAGAGTACTATTTGTTAGCCGTGGATTATTTTCTTGCCATAACATTACTCTCTCTATTTTTATGTTGTTAAATTGATAGCATCCCGTTAATCTAGTTGTAACCGCATGCCTTACATAATTTCGACTTGATAATTCTGAAAGCCTAACTTGGGTAAGTATTAATTCTATAACTAGTAAAGTTTTAATCATCTTATATTAAAATCCCCAAACAGTTCTTGTTTCCATGCATATGTGTCACATCAAACTTGGTATTTTTAGCTATTTTGATACATGTACGTTGCTGCATTTACCTGTCAGAAGACCACTACTAATGCTATTTCCTATGGAGTTTAGGCACATGTTCCCAACACAAGAAGATGAATTAGCTTGTTGAAATCAACCTAAGGAATTTTCAGATTTTGATTATTCAGTCTACACAAGATAATATGCACAAGTAAAATTGAAATAAAAGAGCACAAATAAGAAGTCAAACCAAATTATGATTGTTTGGCCCTTAACCAAACCTACTCCTCAAATACCTCTTTGGGATTTCTACTGGTTCCCGTATTATCAAAAGACTTAATAAGCCTTCTAGGACTCATGAAACTAATGATTTCCTCTAGTAATTTAGCTACAATTTGAAGGGCCTTGATTTACTTTGTATCTACGATGTTATGAACCAAAGAGTCCTAAGCAAAAAAATTACATCAAATAAATAAAGTAGAAATTTGAGAGAAAGAACGATGGATTCGAGGCTTAACCATGTTTGATTGATTTATCTTATCCAATTACCTGCTAAAATTGTGCCTATATGGTGTGTTAAAAAATGTTTATTATGATAAATGATTTGTTTGCAAAAAGGAATGAAAATATGTTAAGGTCTCATTTGGTTGCTTTCAAATAAAAGACATGTTTAAGAAAGTTTAAAATATGATTTAAAGCAAACCTTAATGTTTTTTTTTTTAAATGATTTCTAATTTCAAGCAACCAAATAAGCCCTAAATGGTTTGTCTCCCATGATCCAGTATTATAACTTTGTGCCAACGTTGGGTCTAATAGCACAAGGAATCTCTCTAAAAGTGTATGAACTGCATAGATTTTCTCACCAATTGCTACCTTGTCTAACAATGGTATATGCACTTTATAGCTTCCAACTGATTTGAGTACATAGTTTAGTAGTTTTTGAAAACATTGGGAATACGTTGTTTCTTTTCTCTGATATTTACCATCTGTTATACCCTCAAGATTTCCTCAACAAATGAACTAAAAGTTATCCATGAAAAAATTTCAAGACTTTATTAAATAAATGGATCAAGCCCAAAGAGCAAGAAGAGGAGAGAGAGGGGTTAGGTCTAAGAATTTCATAAAGAATTGATTTATGTAATGTAATAAAAGCCCTTTGAATAGAGAACGGTGAGTTGAACTACTAAGTCATTGATAGAGTTTTCTTATCTAGTGAGATTTCATGTATTTTCTTCTGTGATATTTCTTGTTAGACTTTTTATATATCTTCCATATGCTTGTGTTGGACCAATTGCCTCCTAATTTATAAGCGATGATAAAGTTTAGCTTTTCAAAATTAGTTATATAGTATAATTATATAGAGAATATGTAAATTGAACTTGATATAGTTTGTCCTTGTACTTATATTATTCTTCAATTGCTCCATCATCCCTTAATCAAGTTTAGTTGCTGTTTCCCTTTTTATTTGTTTATTAATTTGTAATTTCATTCGAGCTTTCTAATCTTCTGCAATTATGAAGAAAATTTTATGAAATTAAGCCGATTTCCCTGCAGGTTCTTCTTCTGTGATTCTTAGTCGGAAATTCATAGAGCACATCATCTTGGGTACCGACAACTTACCAAGAGCCCTTCTCATGTACTATGCCAACACTCCATCATCTCACAATAACTACCTCCAAACTGTTCTCTGCAACTCCCCAGAATTCAATAGAACCATCGTCAATGATCACCTCCATTATTTAAGATCAGACTCAGCTCCAAAACAAGATCAAAATCTTCCAATATCGGACATTTTGAATAATTTGACACTTAGTGGTGCTGCCTTTGGTTCAAATTTTTATAGAGATGATCCTATTCTCAACCAAATTGATAAAAATGTTCTAAATCGCGGTCGCAGGAGGATAGTTCCAGGAGGCTGGTGCTTGGGTAGAGGTAATACTGATCCATGTGGCGTTTGGGGAAGCCCTGATGCCCTAATTCCTGGTCCTGGAGCCACAAGACTTGCAAGGAATGTTGTGAAACTGCTTAAGAATGAGAGCTTCCATTCTCATCAATGTGCATGGGGTGGATCTGTTTAATACGGAAAATTATTAGGTCCGGATGAGATACGTCCGGTGTCCAATAAAATATTTGACATCTGGAATGCATACGTGCCCGTGGAATTTTAAGTCAAGCGCGTTAAAAGCGCAGTCAAAAAGTGCATTCAAAGCGCAGTCCTCGTGATAAATTTTAATTGGATATAGGTCCGGTGTTTGGACCTAATAATATTCCGTTTAATACAAGGTACTAATTCTTGAACCAGTTAAAATTTTGCTATGCTTTCATTTCTCTTATTACGTGGCTTTTATCATAGCAAACTTCAGCAATTTATTGCTGCTGTATTCATCTTAATTGTCTACAGGAGGGATTCTACTGTTTTGTGTTGCAATCAGTTAACATTTTGTTTCAGAAATTTCTATCTGTAAGTGTATAAAGTCCATTCTGTAGGCCTCATCTACTTTTCCTTAATTTTATTTATGTTTTTTTTTTGGATGGTAAGATAGACCTCAGTTAGCTACATTTAACTATCTTATATTCTATGTTCCAGCGCAAGCCAATTGTCGTGGAAGAGAGCGAGAGAGAGAGAGGATTAATTACTATGTGCTGACGTCGAACGCTGTCCGAATATTAACCAAAATGTGCCACGTCCCAAACAAGACCTTAGTTGTATGATGAAAATGCACAGTTGGGAGCACATTCTTTAACCAATTTCATAACAAAAAGACAAACATGGAGAGAAATGCCCCACTTAGTTATATTGTCTATTATGGTTTTAAGCTTTTCCAAACAGGCCATACTGCATAATTAAAGGAAAAAATATTCAGAACATTAGTTCCATGATCATCAACATGAACCATAAAATAAGCTTTCTTTCAGCAAACTTGGTATTGAGTTTTTCATTTCAGAAATGGAAATTTTGTGAATAATAATATCAAAGTAAGCTGGCTTAATTCTCCATGTTAGATTTCACTTTAGCATTAAATTTCATGTTTTACAAATGTTAAGTAGTATTATTCAACATCTCCTTCAACTTCTTAAGTAAAATGAAGCTAAATTCTTACTCTTTGAAAATCCTTAAATACTTTTGTGCTCATTTTGATTTATATTGTATCATAATATCTTGACATATTATTTTCGTAAAAATATAATGAGATAGCTTAGTTTATAAATTTATGCATCTTATATAATTGTTTTCTAGTTTCTATACTAGTACACAATCAGGGGCGGAACCAGCTATAATTTTCAGGGGGGGCAAACTTATAAGTAATTATTGACAGATATATCGGGGGTCTAAGGGGTTCGACCTGACAATAACACCTTTACATAATGTGTTTAATTATACATGGGGCAATTGCTTAAAGACCATAATATTTTAAAATTTTAGGGGGGAGGGCAATTGCCTTAAAACCCTTTTAATAAAGGCTAAAACATAGATTTAGGGACAAATTATCTAACGAATCATATAATAAAAAATAAAAAATTTTGAGGGGGGGGGGGGGGGGGGGGGGATTTAAATAATAAAAGCTTTGCAATATATTATTATAAGATTTAAATATTATAAATTCTCTTGAAGATATCAATAAATATTTTCATTGCATTAAAATATTATTTAATGAATTTTGTTTTATATGGTGTCATATATGCTTGTTTGATTTATGTATGATTAGTGTTTTGGTTGTGTGATATATATAAATGTAATTATTTTTTATAATATCTTTAATTATTGATAAGAATATAACAGAGAGAATCTTCTCTGTAATTTATCAAAATGATTAACAAATTAATTTTAATGTGAGAATGAAAGGAGTTTTTGTAAATGTATAATATATTTTAAAAATTCTTATGCATTTATATATTGGATGTATAAATCTTAATATTTAATTTAGCATTTAAATACATGTAAATATTACATTTAAAGATATTTAGCTGTGAAGTTTAAAACTTAGGTTTTGTTTGAGATAATTTTTTTACTGTATTTTAAAGCAAACTTTTAGTACATAATTTTTTTAAAATAAAAATTTATGTACTATTAAAATTATTTTGAAAAGCAGTATGAAAGTTGAAAGTAGTGAAATAACAAAAATTCTTTTTGGCGTTAAATTTAAAATAAAAATTTTTTAGTTTTAAATTAAAATTTCAGTTTTTTTTTTAGAATTTAGTTTTAAAATATAGAATTAGTTTGAAAAAGTTAAAATATAATATATAATATTAATTTAAATTATATTTTAATATATTTTAAGTTAATTGAGCATTTAAATGAGCTTATGAGTCTAGCTAGGTTATGCTCGAGTTCGAGTATAGATTTGAGCTAGAACTTGTAACTCAATAAACTCGACTCATGAGCTCATTAACGAGTCAAGTTCGAGCTGGCTCGACTCACTTTCACCCCTAATATATATATATATATATAATTTTACGTTTTAAATACTAATTATCAAATAAGTCCAAAAAAATTAAGTATTTCGGAACAAGGATAAGAAAATGTTTATATAGAAATCGTTTTTGTAATTGAGAAAACAATTAATTAATTAGACTTGTTGCGTCCTGGAGTATTCGAGGCGGTAGAGAAATATAAAGTTTAACATCTTAGCGTTGTACGAAAATCCGACACGCAATCAGATAAAAGAGAGGGTGTAGCATTCATATGAGACATCAATATTTTTACATGGAAAACCGTTGAAAAGGGGGAAAAACCATGGGGTCTAACCCAATTTGAATAAACCCACTAGTATTTGTAGTTGATTTACAGGCCCTTCCTTGGGGGGAAGGCATTGGCTCTATGTACATCATATGCAATACATTACATGGTGGGAATACAAAGAGCTACTGTTGACGTGTTCATTTGGTTGGACGAACTGTAGTCAATGGGCGACGTAAGTTAGAAGGACAGCAGTCGGCGGGCGACAAAGGTCAGAAGGACTGTAGTCGGTGGGCGACGTAAGCCAGAAGGGTCGTAGTAGGCGAGAGACAGAGGTCGGAAGGACTGTAGTCGGTGGGCGACGTAAGTCGAAAGGACCGTAGTCGACAGACAACAGAGGTCGGAAGGATTGTAGTCAACGGATGACGGAGGTCGGAAGGACTGTAATTGGTGGGCGACGTAAGTCAGAAGGACTGTAGTCTAAAGACGGAGATCAGAAGGACGACGTCAAGTAGTAGAAGTCCAGTTATGGATAGAAATCCCACATTTGATAGTTATCCGATGAAAGTCCGACGATATGTAGAAGTCTGACGTCGGGTTGAAATCTTGGCGATGAGCGGAGGTCCGGCATCGAGTAGAACTTCGACATCAGTTGGCGGCCGAGGAGAACTCCAGCGTTAGATGGTATTTGGGTAGAACTCCGGCATCACTTGGAGTTCGGGTGAAACCCCAGCGCCTCTTGGAGGTCGGGCATAATTGTGGCGTCACTTGGAGGTCGGGCGGAATTCCAGCATCACTTGGAGGTCGGGTGGAATTCCAGCGTCACTTGGAAAGTCGGGCAAAATTCTGGTGTCTCATGGAAGTCGGGCAGAATTCCGGCATCACTTGGGTAGAACTTCAGCAGCGGTGATCAAGGAGTTTCTTTCATCCTATCATCCTCTTATCTTCTACTTGCTTTGGGTCTTGCTTCGAGCCCCCTTTCAAGAGAAATGAGGGGTTATTTATAGTTTTTTGAGAGTGGCATAGCCAGTAAATAAGAGGAAGATCAAGGACGAATTGGGAGTGGTTTGAATGGACAGCCGATATTGAATCCCTCTCCCTTGATCGTGGACCGCTCGTCAGACATTTGAAGGTCTTAATGATGTTAAAATTCAGCAATTTTGGGCTCGTTGGATTCGTCTCATCGAGCCGCTCGATTCTTATATAAGCACGTTATGTTTGGAAACCGTTTGGTAACCCAAATTGTGGTTCAAACTTTCTAATAGCGCTTCAGGTCCTTGATTTGGACTCGTTTGAGCTCGGATTGAGTCAAATTCAGTGTCGTTGGGTTCGTATTTCTGAGACGCTTAGTTCGACTATAAGTTGCTGAAATTGGAGTTCAAATTATCCCAGGTTTAATTTAATTTTTGAAATTTCCAACTATATTTTTGCCTCGAGGTTCGTGCCCGATCAAGATAATTTTTTGATGACATATCAATACTAATTCACATGCAAATGATAAAATTAAAAAAAAATGCAAATGATTAGCTATCATTTTAAGAAAATTGGTATTGCATCCATATGCCTTTTTTCATTATTTTAAATGGTATTTTTAACACTTCTAACTAAATTAATTAAATTACATTATTATATTAGAAAAATAATTGTAGTGATATTTTTAAAAATATGAGAATTTAAAATAATTTTAAGGCTGTTTTATAATTGATGTAGATTAGATAACATATTTTTAAAAAATAATATATTTATTAGATTACCTCGTTCAAATGTGGATAAAAATTCATGTTAATTTTAAAATCTAATGAATAAAGTTTTAAATAACATATTTTATTTATTGGAAAATTTTTATTTTGAAGATATATTTATTTTGAGATTAATACCATTTAAATTTTAATTGAATAATTATCTCAATATAATTCTTATAATTTTAAGATTTAATCTTCATTTGATACGGCTTTCTTAGTGCTATTAAATGATCAATCCAAAGCTTATATTTATTTTTATTTTTTTCAAAATATTTATAAAAAAAATAAATTTAAATTGTCAAATAACACTTACAAATAATAAATATAAATTTTAAATTTTAATATTAATTATTAAATTAATTAAAAATGATGATAAAGCCTTTCCACCTCTTATAAATAAACCACTTTTTTTCAAATCATCAAAATCCACATTCCAATCACATCTTCCAAAAATGCCCCTCCTCGTCCTCGTCGTCCTCCTCCTCCTCGCCGCCGGCGACCTTTCCTCCTCCGCCACCCGCAATCACCCTGCATACCCCTGCATGCCCCCTCACTTCAACTCCTTCCCCTTCTGCAACACCTCCTTATCCCTCCCCCATCGCGCCAAATCCCTAATCTCTCACCTCACCCTCCCGGAAAAAGTCCAGCAGCTCGTCAACACCGCCTCCGGCGTACCTCGCCTCGGCCTCCCTCCTTACCAATGGTGGTCGGAATCTCTCCATGGGATTAACAACAATGGCCCGGGCGTTCGATTCAACGGAACGATTCGGGCTTCCACCGTCTTCCCGCAAGTCATCCTCTCCGCTGCTTCACTGGACGTACATGTGGCGAGCTATCGCCCGCGCCGTTGCGTCGAGGGCCGCGCTATGCCAATTCCGGTCAAGCAGGTCTTGAGCTACAGTACAAACTTTAGCCGTTTAGTTCAATAAATATTGAATATATAGTTTTATGAAATATAATAACGGTAATTCCTGAAACATTATATTCATTCTATTTACATATTTTAATATTTAAAATTTTACTATTTTATATCTTATTCATATAATATTAATGATAAAATGAATATATGAGTCGTATAATGTTGATATTAAAATATATAAAGGAGGTATGTAATAATATTAAAATTGGATGTTAAATATTAATTTGATGATATGAAATGTTATTGTATGTAAAATTTAATAATAATAAAAATACTTAAGTCCTGCCCTCCACCGGTTGTTGATTTTTTTATTAAATATGAAATTTAAACATTCAAAGGAAAAATATCAGGAAAATTTACGATATCTAAATTACAGCCATTTTGTGTATTTTTCAATGTAATATTTACATTTGTATTTTTTATAAAATATTTATGTTTCTAATCAATTAAGGCTATTAATGGAAGGTTATTTCACTTAAAAGTTAATATTATTGATATTTTTTTGTGGAATTAAAAATTGAATGTTAAATATATAAATTTAAAATTTACATATTAGATATGTAAATAATATAAATTATATATATATATATATTCTATAATTATATATAAATATTTAAATAATATATATAATATAATAATTATATATATATATGAAGTGTCATTTAATTTAATTACACTTTTTTATTATATTTTATAGTCTTCACTGTTCTCTTTGTACGGCTAAATTTATTAAAATATATATAAGACTAATGGATAACTTAGAACTATTTATTCATAATTTAATTAATAGTAATATTTAAAATATTTTTTTGCTATATTATACTTAGATGCTAGTATTTATTTTTATTATCAATTATTTATATAAGAGATAATAAGTTTATTATGAATGCACATAATTTATTAATTTTGATATAATATTTAAATTTTGGATATAATATTTTTTAAAAATTACATTTATATTTCTATAATACAACTTTGATTTTGACATACAAAAAAAAAAATCTTTAAAATATATGTTTAATAGCAATATTAATATAAAATCTTATCTAATCATAGGTCTATGAAGAGAAATTATTCTGTGCGGGTATTTTTTTTTCCATAAAATATATATTTTTTTTCTTCTGATTTTCTTTGGTCAAAAGTTTTTTCTAGACTAGGTTGAACTTAATAATCTATCAACAAAAGACAAATGTATTCCAATTATTATTTGTGAATATAAAAGAAAATTTGCACAACTTGCTTAGCCTGCATCACTATATTATTATTAAAAATGATAAATATTATTAGAGGTGTAAAAAGTTGGAGAAATTATTCTGTGCGAACACCGGACGGAAAGAACCGTTCGGACTTGCTATGCTTTTGCAAAAGGGCATCAAATATTTAATTATAAATGCATTTTTACTACTCTTTTGCTGACCTTTTTCAAAAGCGCAACATATATTTAGTTATTTAATAAATATTAAATATTTGTTGTCATTTTACTGCTCTTTTGCAAAAGCGCAACAAAAGAATAGTAAAAGTGCAGCAAATTTGGACGATTTTCTCCATCCTATGTCCTCACAGAATAATTTGTCCAAAAATTGGTCCCTACCTTCCAATCCAACAAAGACTTTACCCAAAAAAAACATGTGTTTTGGGTCCTGAATTTTGAACCATTTATTGAACTAGTTGGGTTAGAATTGACATGAGAACATGATTTTGACCTGAAAATGACTTGTTTAATTTTGTTTCTTAAATTATTTTATTAGTTAATTTAATCTTCTTATCTTTTGATCAATTTATCTAAGCAATGTGGTTGATAAGTTATAAAAAAAAATTAACCAAAACGAGTTATGGTGTCTAATTCAAATTATTTGGGTTGCTAATGGGTCGAGTTCAAAATGGACCCAAACTTAACTCGTCAGCTCATTTTGATTCCCCCTACATATCGCAACATTTTTATATAATAATATATATAACCCTTAAATTTATATATTCATTTTTATGACACTCAAATATCTTATAAATCACATTACAATATTATTAATATTAACTTATATAGTATAAATTTGATTTTAAAGATTTCAATATTAGATATACAAATACATCTATAAACAAGTCAAATTTAAGGATTTTTTTTTCTTAAACAATGCGTTCGTGATTGGAGAGATTATTACTTGTGGAGTTCGGACGTAGCTTACGTCCGGACTCCAATCAAAATAAGTCACGTCGCATGTACACAGTCTAGTACATAATCTGAGTATACTACACAGATTATGTACAGTCTAAATGCCGTCCAAACTCCTCATGTAATAATTTCTCTAGTGATTGCCTCTATATACAAACAAATTGTATAGCATGTATGTAAATTCTCCGTATTAAAAACTGGTTTGATTGGTTTGGCTAAAACTTAAAAGGACTGACCTTTTGGGCACCCAACATCAACATCTTCCGGGACCCGAGATGGGGGCGCGGGCAAGAAACGCCTGGAGAGGATCCGCTCGTCAGTTCCCTCTACGCCAGTGATTATGTCTCTGCATTCCAATCTCGAAGCGATTCTCTCTTTCTTTCTGCTTGCTGTAAGCATTACACAGCTTACGATTTGGAGAAATGGAAGGGCTTTAAGAGGTATACTTTTGATGCCGAAGTTACAGAGCAGGATATGAAGGATACGTTTCAGCCGCCGTTCAAGAGCTGCGTTCAGGAAGGGAAAGCCAGTTGCTTGATGTGTTCGTATAATCAGGTTAATGGAGTGCCGGCTTGCGCGCGCAGGGATTTGATCGATGAGGCTAGAGATGATTGGGGATTCGAAGGGTGTGTTTTTGACCTGTTGCGCACAAGGTGTTTGTTTGATTGTCTCAATAATGATTTTTTTTTTTTTTTTTTTTGGGTAGGTATGTGACGTCTGACTGTGATGCGGTGGCTATAATTTACGAGGAGCAAAAGTATGCTGCGTCGCCGGAAGATGCAGTGGCTGCTGTTCTGAAAGCCGGTAAGAGATTTTGGTGCATTGCTCTGTTTGATGGTTTAGTTTCTTTTTTATGTGATTTTTTGGAAGTTATTTTAAGTGGTTTAAGTGTCAAGTTTCAGAATTATTTGATAGAAATTCAAATTTAAAGTTCACTTTTATAAATATGAAAATTCAAATTGTTTGATAGTGCTCATTTTTTGTAAAAGTGATTACAAATTATTTTGAGAAAAAATATATAATTTTTTAAATTTCCATCAGTATTATAATTTTTTTTCTTTTTCTAACTATATAGAGTAATAATTTTCTTATATTTACAACACATTATAGATATAGTTGTAAAAATGAGCTTCTTATCACAATAATTTTTTTTAAAAATAGCTTTAAAATAATAGTTAAATAAAAATATAATAGCGATCTAAAAAATAAAATAATGAAAAAGCTACTCCAAAAAATCTTGATTGTACACCTTGTATTATGTACAAGCTTGTACATACTATGTACAAGGCCACGTGTCACGATTTCATACTATGAAATCGAAGTTCGGACGTAGAGCTACGTTCGGACTTTGCACGTAATAATTTCTCTATTTTCAGAGGAGTGATGATCCAAAAAACCCCTATGTTTTATGAATGATACCTATTTTCAAAGGAGTAATCCTACTTGGGCTGAAATAGTTGACCAAATTACTGTAGGAATACATAGAGTTACTGTTTGGTCCCCAAAAAATTTATAATAACAAGGACAAAATAGTGCAACTGTTTGAAAATCATCATCAGTTTTTTATTTTTTATAAAAATAAGAAATTAGATGGGAGGTAAGTTAGAATATTATCTTAATTCGTTATATTAGTAAACAAAATTTAAAATTGATGGGATGATTTGAAACTCATTGTAGTCTAAAGAAGCACTAAAATTGAATTCATAATCATGAATTCATATATGAGAAATGAACATCACTGAAACTTTCTTTAATGCCTGGATTTGTTTCTGAATTAGTTTCTGTTTCCATGACAAAGGGATGGATATCAACTGTGGCAACTACTTGCTGCAGCACACCGAGTCTGCAGTGAAGCTTGGGAAGGTGACAGAGGAGGACATCGATCGCGCACTCACCAATCTCTTCTTGGTTCAGCTGAGGCTTGGGCTTTATGACGGAGCACTGAAGAGGCGGCGACATGGGTTACTAGGACCCAAAGATGTTTGCACCAAAGAACACAGAGAGATAGCTTTGGAAGCAGCAAGACAAGGTTTTGTGCTTCTGAAGAATGACAATGGATTCCTGCCTCTTAAAAGGAACAAAGTGTCTTCCTTGGCCTTGATTGGGCCTGCAGGAGACAAGACTAACTTATTAGGTGGTGATTATAGTGGAGTTCCCTGCAATCCTATAAGCATACTTCATGGCCTGAGAGATTATGTACCAAGCACTTCTTATGCTTCAGGATGTCCCAACACTTCTTGCCTAGTTGATGATGAATTTGAAGAAGCTGTTCATGTTGCACGAGTAGCTGATGTTGTGGTTGTGGTTGCTGGACTGAACCTTACTGAAGAAACTGAGGAACTTGATAGAGTGAGCTTGTTGCTTCCAGGGAAGCAGAAGGATCTGGTTAATGCTGTAGCTTCTGTAAGCAAGAAGCCAGTGATACTGGTGCTCATGGGAGGAGGACCTATTGATGTGTCATTTGCAAGAGATGATCCAAGGATTGCCAGCATTTTCTGGATTGGTTATCCTGGTGAAGTAGGTGGCCAGGTGCTTGCAGAGGCTGTGTTTGGAGAATTCAACCCTGGTTAGTACTACTTACTGCACTTATTGAGTTTCTAAGGGCATCTCCAACCGAACATCAAATATGCATATGACGTCGTTCGATCGCTCCAGCCAAACGTCAAATCTTCCGCTATTTGATTGTGGGTGAATAGTGTGACGCCATTATTGGCGTGGCACTGTTCACCTACGCGATTTTTCTGTCTCAACCAGATTTGCCGAAGAAACGAACGAGCCAAGGAGGAGAAAGACGGTTACCTTCGCTGAAGCCCGCAAAATGGAGTTCGATTGGAGATGAATCACGACATTTTTGCATTTCACTGCATTTTGAAGTGAAAATGGAGATTTTCGGTTGGAGATGCCCTAAGTTATTTCTCGTAACAAGATTACTAATTTGATTATGGAATGGGTTGGTTCGCAGGTGGGTATTCAACGATGACATGGTACCCGGAATCCTTCACTGTCGTGCCGATGACAGATATGCGCATGAGGCCTGATCCTTCAACTGGTTAACCCGGCCGAACCCATCGATTTTACACCGGGGATGTTGTTTATGGATTTGCATCTGGCTTGAGCTACACTACTTACTCCTACAAGTTCATATCAGCACCAAACGAGTTGCAGTTGCTTGAATACTCTCAAAAGAAGGTAGAACCAACACCTGAGACAGTTGATGGAGTTGATTACCTGCAAATTGAAGAGAATATTGCTTGTGAGGACTTAAAGTTCAATGTAAAGATTGCAGTAATGAACAATGGAGATATGGATGGAAGCCATCCTGTATTATTGTTTTCGAGATCTGCTGCGAAAATTAAAGGATCACCAATAAGGCAGTTGGTTGGATTTGATAGAGTGTTCACAGCTGCTCATAAAACTACTGAGATTGAGATATTGGTAGATACTTGCAAGGATTTGAGCACAGTGGATGAAATTGGTAAGCGGATTATTATACTGGGAACTCATGTTCTGATGCTGAAAGATATAGAACATGAGCTATCCATCAAGACTTGAGGAATTAGTAGATTGAGAGCTTCCATTGAGCATCTTAAGGCTCGTTTGGGATGGCTTTCATGTTGTTTCTTAAAGCAGCTTTTCAGTATAAAAATTTTATTTATTGAACTAAAACACTGCTTTAAAAAGCAGTAAGAAAGCCGTCCCAAACGAAGCCTTAATTTTCTGCGCAATCTTTATCTTTCTGTGTGTTCAACAAATAAAATTTCAGCTTTTTTCCATAAAGAAAAATAAATTTTGGAACAACACTACGATTTTTCTCTCTTGGTTTTGTGAAAATATTAAGCTTATGCATTTGAACTTTGTTCTCAGCATCAGGATATTGTGAACTTGAATTGAATGCAAGTTATGGGAATCAAAGGTGATTTTTTTTGTTAGGTAAGATAGAATTGTGACAATTAGTGATGCGGAGCATCTTTGAGAAGACCTTCTGCGGGACATTGCACCGGTGGAGCACATGGACCGTTAGCCAGGGACGTTCTCCACTACTTTATTTTATTTGCAGTTTTAGTAATGATAGTACATGAGTTGCCTTTTTGCTTCAGTAACTGATTTAGTAGGCCTTAGAGGCGGATTAGTATTTACGGTAGAAGAGCTGTTTTGGACGGCAGTTTTTTGGATATGAAGTAAAAGAACTACATAAGCTTAGTCTCCTATTCCATTGTTTTCCTTCTCTGTTTTTCTAGCTATTTTCTGTGCAGATTACCTACATCAGAGCTTGGTATCAGAGCCAGATGGCTGAAAGCAGTAGACGGGTGGCTCCCGGTGATGATCGTAGCCTTGAAGCCCTGTGGGCAGAGCATCGGAAGCTAGCGCAGCAGGTGACGGAGGCGGCGACTGATGCTCAACTTTTCCAGACGGAGGTGCGGAGAGACCTCCGAGCAATCCTTGTACGTCTGGAGCACAATCCGACATTGCGGACAGCAATGCCGAACAAAGTACCTGCGGACCGACGAGGACGGGGGACAGGTAGGGGCTGGAACAGAGACACTCCAGTTAGGGAGATATCCGATTTAGACGAAGGTGTGGAGATAATGAAGGAGCTCGAATTATCAGATTCGGAGGAGGACGCAGGGTATCATCACAGGAGGCGTCCAAGAGGAGTCGATCGTCAGCAAGGGGAGTTCCGTGTTAAGATGGATATCCCGTTCTTCGATGGAAAATTACACATCGAGGACTACCTAGATTGGGAGCGTGCTGTGGAAACCTTCTTCGAGTATATGGAGGTAGAACCAACAAAACAAGTGAAATATGTCGCTTGTAGATTGAAATCGGGAGCTAGCGCGTGGTGGCTTGAGTTGCTGCAGTCTCGGAGGCGAGAAGGAAGAGGACCTGTACGCAGTTGGTGGAGAATGAAGCAATTACTTCGAGGTCATTTCTTGCCTACAGATTACGAGCAAATGCTATACATGCAGTATCAACACTGCTCACAAGGAAACTGATCGGTAAACGAATATACGGAGGAATTCTATCGATTGAGTGCAAGGAATAACCTCAATGAAACTACCAACCAATTGGTTGCTAGGTATGTGGGAGGTCTGAAAGAAACAATTCAAGATAAATTGGAGCTAAACGCGGTCTGGTCTCTATCCCAGGCCGTCAATTATGCTTTGAAGGCAGAATTGCAATTGGCAAGGCACAGCCGAAGTGGTCAAGGGAAGTGGGTCGTTGAACATACTGAGAGCAACCGTTCCACCAATGTAAATGTCATTCCAGCTGGTCGAAGCCACCATAATCCTGCGGGAACACCAGTGCCGAGAGGAGCAGGAAATAAAATTGGGGAGACAAAAACACCACCGAGATTCAAAGGTCAGTTCAAAGAAAATCCTTATGCTAAACCCACAACTATTAAGTGTTTCAGGTGTTTCCAGCAAGGCCATAAGTCGAACGAATGTCCGACTAGACCGCAAATTCATGTACTCGAAGCAGAAGATGACACGACGTTGGAAGAAGAGGAGGAAGATCCGGGAAATTCACAAGAGGATGTGGGCGGCGATGAAGGCGAACCACTAGTTTGTGTGATTCAAAAGCTACTCCTAGCACCGAGACAAGGAGATAAGTCGCAAAGGAATAGTTTGTTTAAAACCAAATGTACGATCGGCGGGAAAATTTGCGACTTATTAGTGGACAGTGGGTGTACGGAGAATGTAATCTCTAAGACAGCAGTGAAAGCTTTGCAGTTAAAAACAATTCCTAATGCTAATCCGTACAAAGTCAGCTGGGTTAAAAAAGGGGTAGAGATCGCAGTCATTGAAAGTTGTTGTGTTCCCGTGTCTATTGGGAAGAATTATTCGAGTGATGTCATTTGCGATGTAATTGATATGGATGTGTGCCATATCATCCTCGGACGACCGTGGCAGTTTGACGTAGGAGCCACACATGATTGTAGGGCAAACACCTATACCTTCAGCTGGAAGGGAAAATCGCTCCGTTTACTACCCAGCAATGGGGACACTGAGACAATCAACCCCAGCCGCAAACCGTCCATGTTTGTGGTTTCAGGTAACCAATTGCTGCACGCGTGGAGAGATTCGTCTCTGTTGATGGCACTTGTGGTAAAAGAGCAATCTAGCACCAAAGAATAAGTTAATATTCTTGCGTCTGTCAGGGAGTTGATTGAACAATATGCGAATATTGGGCCAACCGACCTTCCAGCAGAATTACCGACCTTAAGGGAGATCCAGCACAGTATTGATTTAATCCCCAGATCCACAATACCCAATTTACCGCATTACAGATTGTACCCGAAGGAACAGAGGATTTTGCAACAGTTGGTAGAGGATCTTCTGGAGAAGCAATTAATTTAGCATAGCCTTAGCCCGTGTGCGGTTCCCGCACTATTGGTTCCCAAGAAAGATGGGAGTTGGAGGATGTGCGTCGACAGCAGAGCCGTCAACAAAATCACAGTCAAGTTCAGATTTCCTATGCCCAGGATAGAAGAGATGCTAGAAAGATTGGCCGGATCTCAAATATTCTCCAAATTAGACCTCCGAAGTGGTTATCATCAGATACGAATCAAACCCGGAGATGAATGGAAGACCGCGTTTAAGACGCGAGAAGGGCTGTATGAATGGCGTGTGATGCCGTTCGGGTTATGCAACGCCCCGGCGACCTTCATGAGATTGATGAATGAAGTACTCAAACCCTTCTTGAATAAGAGTTGTGTAGCTTATTTCGACGACGTATTGGTTTTCAGTTCCAGTTTGGAAGAACACCTGCAGCACCTAAAACAGATTTTTGAAGCATTTCGTCGACACAAGCTGTATTTAAATGTATCTAAATATGAATTCGCTACGGAGGCGGTATTCTTTCTCGGGTTCAAAGTCTCCACAGCCGGTTTTAGTGCAGATCCAAGGAAAATTGAGGCCATAAAAGAGTGGCCTACACCCAAATCATTTACCAATATTCGAAGCTTCCACGGATTGGCGAATTTTTACAGAAAGTTTATCAAGGGTTTCAGTGTGATTTTGGCTCCTTTAACAGATATCCTGAAACAGAAACAGTTCCAGTGGGAAAAAGAACACCAAGCCAGCTTCCAGGCTATTAAAGAAGCTTTATCTTATGCGCCGGTATTGGCTCTACCGGACTTTGACAAGCCTTTTTTGGTGGAAACTGATGCGTCTACAGTGGACATTGGAGCTGTGCTAGCTCAAGAGGGTAGGCCCATTGAATTTTTTTAATGAAAAATTATGTCCGTCTCGACAGCGATGGTCCGTTTACGAACAGGAATTGTATGCTGTAATCCGGGCCTTAAAACAATGGGAGCACTATTTGTTGCACCAGGATTTCATCCTATGCAGTGATCACAAGGCATTACAGTACATAAATACTCAGAAAAACATAAACCGCATGCATGCGAGGTGGATCTTATTTCTACAGAAATTTACCTTTGTGTTGAAACACAAAAGTGGTGTTCAGAACCGCGTCGCGGATGCCTTAAGCCGCCGATCCGCCCTTATCACACAGTTGCAATCAAACTTTACCGGCTTGGAGCTGGTACAGGACCTGTACCAAGAAGATAAAGATTTTGGCAAGGTGTGGAACCAATGTGTTAACAAAGAAGCTGCAGGTGAGTACACGGTGCGGCACGGATTCTTGTTCAAGGGTAATCTTCTCTGTATTCCAAATTCATCGTGGAGACAACGTATCATCCAGGAAGTACACGGCGGAGGTTTTGCAGCCCATGCAGGAAGAGACAAGACACTTACCCAGGTACAAAATAAGTTTTTTTGGCCACACCTGAGAAGAGACGTGAGCAAGTTTGTGGAACGTTGTTCAGTCTGTCAAATGTATAAGGGAGGCGGACAGAACTCTGGGTTGTATCAGCCTCTACCAGTGCCCGAATCCATCTGGGAAGATTTGAGCATAGATTTTGTACTCGGATTGCCTCGCACCAAGAGGGGGAACGACTCGATTATGGTGGTTGTAGATCGATTTTCAAAAATGGCACATTTTATTGCGTGTAAGAAGACTTTTGATGCTCAAAACATCGCAACATTGTTTTTTCGGGAGATTGTGAGACTACATGGCGTTCCGAGAAGCATCACATCGGATAGAGATGTGAAATTCATAAGTCATTTCTGGCGAGAGTTGTGGAAGAGATTCAAGACCCAGGTTAAATTGAGTTCATCGTACCATCCCCAAACTGACGGTCAAATAGAGGCGGTGAATAGAACGTTGGGAAACTTACTCCGCTGTCTAGTATAGGAACAGCTGAAACTATGGGATGATGTGCTATGTCAAGCAGAATTTGCTTTTAACTCTATGACAACCGTTCCACTGGTATGTGCCCTTTTAGTATTGTCTATACTAAAGAACCGAACAATGCATTAGATGTTGCAACAATTCCTAATTGCAAGAGCAAATCTGCTGCAACTATGGTGGATCAATTCGCGGATTTGCTGACCAAAGTTCGCTTGAAGCTAGAAGAATCTAATGCTAAGTACAAAGTGGATGTTGATATTCACAGACGAAGGAAGGTTTTTAATCCGGGAGATCTTGTTTGGGTACGAATGAAGAAGGAGAGGCTGCCGGCAGGATCATACAACAAATTGGGACAGAAGAAGTTTGGACCGTTCGCTGTCACTCGCCGTATCAATGACAATGCGTACGTAATCCAGTTGCCTGCTACGTTCAACACGCCCAATACTTTTAATGTTGCAGATTTATACCCTTATCACGCCCCGGACGACGATTCTGAAGGAGCAAGAGATGGCCTGCAGCTCTTTGGAGAGGGGGCGCATGATGCGGAGCATCTTTGAGAAGACCTTCTGCGGGACATTGCACCAGTGGAGCACATGGACCGTTAGCCAAGGACGTTCTCCACTACTTTATTTTATTTGCTGTTTTAGTAATGATAGTACATGAGTTGCCTTTTTGCTTCAGTAACTGATTTAGTAGGCCTTAGAGGCGGATTAGTATTTACGGTAGAAGAGCTGTTTTGGACGGCAGTTTTTTGGATATGAAGTAAAAGAACTACAGAAGCTTAGTCTCCTGTTCCATTGTTTTCCTTCTCTGTTTTTCTAGCTATTTTCTGTGCAGATTACCTACATCAGAGCTTGGTATCAGAGCCAGATGGCTGAAAGCAGTAGACGGGTGGCTCCCGGTGATGATCGTAGCCTTGAAGCCCTGTGGGCAGAGCATCGGAAGCTAGCGCAGCAGGTGACGGAGGCGGCGACTGATGCTCAACTTTTCCAGACGGAGGTGCGGAGAGACCTCCGAGCAATCCTTGTACGTCTGGAGCACAATCCGACATTGCGGACAGCAATGCCGAACAAAGTACCTGCGGACCGACGAGGACGGGGGACAGGTAGGGGCTGGAACAGAGACACTCCAGTTAGGGAGATATCCGATTTAGACGAAGGTGTGGAGATAATGAAGGAGCTCGAATTATCAGATTCGGAGGAGGACGCAGGGTATCATCACAGGAGGCGTCCAAGAGGAGTCGATCGTCAGCAAGGGGAGTTCCGTGTTAAGATGGATATCCCGTTCTTCGATGGAAAATTACACATCGAGGACTACCTAGATTGGGAGCGTGCTGTGGAAACCTTCTTCGAGTATATGGAGGTAGAACCAACAAAACAAGTGAAATATGTCGCTTGTAGATTGAAATCGGGAGCTAGCGCGTGGTGGCTTGAGTTGCTGCAGTCTCGGAGGCGAGAAGGACGTTAGCCGTGAGGCCACAGGCGGGTTGAGGTCGAGCACTCGAGCCGTGAGGCTGCAAGTAGAGTCGTGTAAGCAGAGGCAAGGTCGACCGATCGAGCGATAGCTCGGGATTTGGCCCTTCTGCCAGAACTTTTATTTGGTCCGGTGAAAGGACGTAGAGCTACGTTCAGCCGGCACTAAATTGCGCCACGTAGCATGCACAAAATCACGTATTTGTCGATTTTGCTCGGCAATAACGAGAAATACCAATATGTGAAGACAAATACCGAGCAACACCGAGCAATACCGAGTTTTTTCTAGAAAAACTCGGTATTGGTCTTCATAGAGCGGTATTTCTCGTTATTGCCAAGCAATACTGGGTAACTCAATGGTGACCGTACGTAGAGCTACGTCCGGTCACCGGACCTAATAATTGTTCCTTCTGCCAAGTGGGTTCTGCCAAGGGCGCGAAATGGGAGCGCATCATGGCGTCAGCATGGTATGCGGGTGATGGCTACCGTGAGAGGCGAGCTCGACGCCTGCAGCGGCACGGGCGCGGGTCCACTGGAGGGGGTCTGACCGCAAGTGATCGAGCAGGTCTGGCCCTTGGACGCTAGCGTGGTGCAGGTGTTCACGAGATGAGGGTGCGGGTCACTGAGTTGGCCGTCAGGTGTGTGTAAACCGAGTCATTTCGGGTTATTTTCGAGTTTCCAAGTCAAACCGAAACCGACCTGAATTTATAAGCAAGTCAAATTACCAAACCCAAACCCAACTCATATAATCATGGTGCGAATTTTTTCAGTTCAAGTTTCAAGTCGCATCAATTTTTGACACTTCCAATACTTACAATTCCAAGAAAAAGGAAGATTGCTCTCTTTTTTTTTTTTTTTTTTTTGGGGAAAATTTGGGGCCAAAGCCCATTGAGATTGCTCTTTTTGATCGCACAAAAAAGAACTGATACAATAATTGAAAATATCCACTAATAAATTCACTGTAATGCTTGAACAAAAAAAAAACCACCATAATATAACAGTGATAATCGCCGCAATAATACTTTTAATTTAAAAAAAAAGTACTGTAACAGTGTTTCTTTTTAAGGAAAAATGCCTATATCTACTACATCGTTCCTTCAAATTTCCCCAACTTCATACTCTATAGTTCTAATGGTAGATAATAAGATGATCAATACAAAAAATTGCTCCTCCTATTTCAGCCAATGCAGGCCTAATTGGTTGAACTCCGGTAACAGAAAACAATCCGCAGATCAAAAAGAATACTCGGCTTCCCTTCTTTGCAGAAGAGAAAGGGTAATTACTTACAGGAAGAAGAAGCCACCAGCTCCATTTCTGAAGGCGCCTCGCTTGAACGACAGGCTTCCTTGAGTTCATTAAACCTGCCGAGATCAAAATTGCGTGCCTTCATGAGCCGCTTCTGCTTGGTGGCAAAGCGACTCTTGAAGAAACCTTCGAAGGAAGGTTCTGTGGAAGTCCTCAGGAAGAAGACGTAGCCGGCCATGAAGTACATGGAAGTGACGTAGAAGCAGATGGGTTCCATGACGTCCCATGAAAGCTCCCAGAACGTTAGCCTCATGAACCCGGCGGTTTGAGCGGCCAGGAAAGCTAGGCCAAACCATAATTCCCTTCTTGTTTTGGCCTCTGCGAGCTTGTCGATCGTCGCCTTCTGCTGTTCCAGCTTTCTTAGCTCCTCCTTCATTCGGTCAGTTAGAGGGGAGAGAGCAAGGGGGATTGTGCGCTCGATTGCTTTTGCTACCTGTAGGATAGGAAGACTAAGCAGAGGAAAAAGAGATTGGGTGTCTCAAATTGCTGAATACATGAGAGTGTTCAGAAGAACCAAAAAGAGAGAAAAGTTGGAGAACTGCGCTTTTAATCAAATCAACAGAGAGTGATAGGAAATACTTGAGTTCGCAATCAAAACTAATCAATAATTAGTAAAAACAGAGAGAAAACGAAAGAATCGTGGTGGAAGAACAAACAAACGATAGCAAATCTTATAACAATAAAAAAGAAACAAGAACAAAGTAAAGATATAAGAGATCCTCAATTCGAGAGGAGGATCGTCTCTCCTAAATCTCTAGACAAGATTGTCTAGAGCACAAGCCTCCAAAAACCCTAATTTCAATCAATCAAAACATAACCTCTCCCTAATCCCCTCATGCACTTTAATACAAAAACTTTCCTAATCTAATTTCCCTCCCAAAGCTCTATCCGCCCCCCTCTAAACAATTTTGAATTTACTCATGATGGGTGGGGCCCATCATATTCGGCGGGCAAGGGGAAGAGCCTGTTGGACCGGCCAGCGGGCTGGTTCAGACAGACCCGGCGTAACAGAAAGTAAAAGCACTTACAAAGCCAAGAAATGTAAGGATATCTTGAAAAGAAACATACTTGCAGTCTTCTTAAGAAAACTACTTGCATAATATTAAAGGAATAAGAAGTTGCAGAGCGAAAAGAAAACTATTTGGCATAGTTCAACCATACAAGTAAGGAAAGAAACAAAAAAGAACACTTCAGTGTTTATGATTCTAATTGGAAAAATGCAAATAAGCCAAAAAATAAAGTTTGTTTGTTTTGTTGCAAAGTTAACAGCAATAAACTTTATTTTTTTATGTTCTTACAATAGAAGACTGCATTGCATAACAAAGATTTTGAACAACCAATCAAATAATTTCAAAGAAATTGAGAAGAGAAAGCTAAACAAATCAGAATAAATTGCAGTCACTAGCAAAAGCCTTTGATATCAGCCAATAAACCTTCTGAAAGAAAAAAAAAAGACAAATTTGTGCTTAAACTATTATCATCCACTATGTTATATTTTGACTACTAAAGTTTTATTTGGGACGACTTTCTTGTTGCTTCTAAAAACATATTTTTAGTAAAAAAAAATTAATTTTTGTATTAAAAAGCTGAAGCGGTTCCAAACAAAGCCTAAATATGTAAATCTTCTGCACAACTATGACAAGTTCTTAACAAATGGAAATGATATTTTATAATCATGCCATCGTAATCTGATTACTCTTACGATTATCTATAAGTCGGTGGACGATAGCTAAGTCACCCACTGAAGTTTAGATCTTTCTGACATAATGGGCATTACAAGCTTGTTTAATAAATTAATTAAACATAATATATAAATAAAGTTGAAAGATGTAGGCGCCATCAGACAAATTGAAATCTTTTATCATTAAAAGGGTTCTATAGATCAGATGTTGCAACATGATTCGGCTTATCACTTTGATAGAACCATAATTCGTATTAATATAATCCTCATTCCTAAGAAGGCAAAGGTCTTAGATTAGCAAACAGGACAATTAATTTCCAAGATAATTAGCTAAAATGTTATTGATATTTACTATCATTAATATATATATAGAAATAATCATATAATTAAAAATTTAACACATTTGTGCAGATCTTTAATAAGCCAATAAAATCAAATCAGTACAAAATTGGAGTTTCCAAATATTTAAATTGCGGATTGATATCATTCTAATAGGAAAATTAATAATTTTTCCCGCCTAGTAAACCTACAAACATAGAGAAAGGTCTGCTCCCACGACTTTGTCCAGGGGCTTCTTGCAGGTTCAAAATTGGTGAAAGGTAATATAAATTTGTAATAGAAGAGAAGAAGCGCGAAGATACCAAATTCGATAAAAATGATGATAGAATAATTAAAGTTTTATAAATCTATATTGATTTGTTAGATTTTGAAGGAGAATAGTAGCGATTGGGGAAAGGGTGTCGCTAACTGGTCTGAGGTCTCTTCATCCTTGGCTATCATTTTCAAACACGGAACCCTTCCTTAACTTTAATTCCTGTAGAGAGAAAATCATGGAAAGAAGAAAAAGGGGGAAAACATGATCAGATCTCAGCGATCCTGAACGGAAATTTTAACTACGCCAAAATGAAAAGTTCTCAATCAATATCGCCTTAAAAGTAAGCATTCACTACCAAAAATTTAATTAATTAATAAATTTAAGAAAAGGGATTTCACTCTTTACCTGATCGGGCCTGACAAAAACGACGTTTCCGATAACAATTACCGCCGCGGACTCATCCAGAGACCGCGCAAGCTCCGGTCCCTTTTCCTCCCCCGAAACCTCGCAACAGATTCGCAAGAACTCCGATGTAGCCACAAAGCTCTTCGGAATCGCCCTCAACCTCGACCTCACCACCTCCATCTGCGACGCCTTAAGCACTTTCCTTACCTCCTTCACCGTCATTCCCATTGCAGCCCGTTTCTCCTCTTCCTCCTCACCAGCAGTCGGCGACAGCAGCGGCGGTGAAGCCACCATCTCCCGCCTCAAACGATCACCATTCTGCCCCCATATCCGATCAAAAAGATTCAAACCAAAAGGCATCGATATCCTGTCAGGCGGCACCGCCGCCTGGAAAACGGGCCGACACTGTATCCAACGGTCGCCGGAGTCAGGACAAACCCCACGGAAAACAGAGCCTCGCGCTGCCTTCCCAACATCGCCGGCGCCGGATCTAATCTGCCCAGCGTAGCCCTTCGCCCCATCGAGGAATCGGTGAGCTATTCTTCTCCCCAACGCCATTAATCGCTTCGCTTCTTCGAATTCGCAATAGCTAAAGAACGAGGGACAGAAAAAACAAAGTAGGGTTTCGGCATTATATAGGAGTACTCACATGCGATATATTCAAGAGAAAATCACGCTATTTCGAGCTAAAATCGCGGTGAACGTACCATCTCGAATATCTTAACGCGCAAAATGAACATCTCGCGCGATACGAGATACGAGAAGCGTAGGGAGACGTAGGAGAGCGCCTATGTAACAGATCGTGTAAGCCGTTCGATCGTAATCCGACGGATCGATGATTGGGTACAGCTTTAAAACTGAAATGACGTCGAGAACGGTACCGATCTATTATATGATGACACGTGGAAAGAGTTGGATGGTTGGATTGGGTGGATCTGTTGGAAGATGGGCCTCACGGGAGTTAACGGCCCAAGAGATAGGCCACGTGAATGGTGATTAGAAGATGCATAATTGGCTTAACAAATCTTTAACTATTTTGGGCCATCCACAACTTTATTTATATTATCTCATAGAAAAACCTCTCAATTATATGATATGAAGTTTTTTATTTTTTTTTCTTAAGTCAATAAGAGAATGATTTTAATTCACAATAATATGAATTAAAATTTAAAAAATTATGATTTATAATAATCATATTTATTTTAGAATTTGTGAGTGTTAAGTCACAATTTTGATGTATGTAATTATAGGTGTAACCGTGTAAGTGAGTCAGGCTGACTCATAAGTCGGTTCTAGCTTGACTCAACAAATGATTCATGAGCTGAACTCAATGAGCTAACAAACTAAGCTTGAGTCGTTAGCTCTTGAGCTGACTCATTTAAAAAATATTGATATAAAATGCACTTAAAATATATTATAATGAATTATTCATGAGCTGAACTCAATGAGCTAACAAGCTTAGATTATAGATCATCATTTATAATTAGGCATTAAAATTCTCTCTCTTTGGACATTATTTATTTGCAAATAATAACTTTATAAAATCTTAAATTTTTTTAATGATTTTTTTTTCAAATAAAAATCATATATTATAATTTGATTATTATTATGTCATTTTTATAACATTTTTCATTATTTAGTTTTTTTAATTAATACAATAATTAATTAATTAATTAATACATTTATTTTGGAAAAACATTTGAATTTATCATATTTATATTTTAATCAATATTTTCTAACCTAATTTTAATTATGCTTGAGAGCTAATGAGTGGTGGGTTCAGACCAAGAAGGGGACACATTTGATATTTAATTTACCAAATTTGGTAATGAAATATCTCAAATAAATTTATATTTAAAGTATCTTCCCAAAAAAAATTATATTTAAAGTAGTGCAATTTAAGATATTTAATTAGGTGAAATATGTGTCACATCTTATAGCCATATCTGTTGATTTTTTTTTAAATTTAAAATTATGTAATTAGAGAAATAATTTATCTTTTTATAAATTATTGTATATATTGACATATAACATTTTTTAAAGAAAAAAATTATGTCAGGATATTCCGATCAAAATACAATACAAATAAATTTTAGAACCAATGGATCTACTTTATAATGAGTACAATATATAAATAATTTATATTGCACTCATTTTAAAGCATTTTTAAGAATTTTAAAGATCGTCATATAAAAAATTAGATAAATTTTGATACAAATTTAATTTGTTGGCTTAAAAACTAAATACAAATAATTGATGAAATATCAATTTATAGAGAATCTAAACAATGAGTGTAGTGTTTTCTTATCAATATAGCACAAGAGAAAAGATGGGCATTGTTTAAGAACTTATTCTTCATCAATATGCCAACTTCCTCATAATTAGCAAATTAGATCATCGAACAAATAGAGTTTCTTCGTGTGAGATAAAGTTGTATAGAGATTTGGTTTTGTTTGGAATAGCTTTTAGACTGTTTTCATAATAAGGAAAGCAGTTAATAAAAATAATGTGTGTTCGAAAGAAGCTTTTTCACCGCTATTTTAAAATTTTGTTTTAACAATCAATTTTGATATATATAATTTTATTTTAATAAGGAAAAAAAAAAGAGAGAAAGGATTAGAGGTCTTTTAGGCTTTGATTGGAACAGTTTTCTTATTACTTTTTAAAGTAGCTTTTTAGTATGAAAATTTTTTGAATTAAAAATTTTGACAATGAAAAGCTATTTTAGAAAACAGTAAGAAAATTGTCTACAAGTGAATATCATTTCAATGTTTAAAGGGTTGAATAACTCTCTAAATTTTGATGTTTAGTCTTTCTTGCACCACAAAACAAGCATTGGACGTTTTTTGTACTAAAAATTTATTTTAGAAGCCAGTAAGAAAAATGTCTCAAATAAAACATATATAATATCTAAGACATAACAAAGATTAGGGGAAGATAATGCTTTCAATTTGTGGGTACTTCATTTTAGCTTGATTGAGATGTCAATTAAGGTAATATAACTCATTCTCTATCCTTTGCTTATTAACTTATAGTAAAAGGGCATAAAAGCGTAAGAACTTCCCTAACTAAATAATATTTTAGAGTTTTAAATATTAAATTTTGCTTTAGTTAATATAGGTTGATTCTTAAAACATAATGCCCTATGCATAAGGGTGGTTGAAGGGCTTTCCTTAAAATAAAATATTTGTGGTGTAATCCTAGATGTTAGGCTGTAATTAATTGACTGAATTATGCCAATGACCAGAGGGTGAGATTCTTTATAGATTATTGAAAGTCGTCAGAATGATGATGTATGATGATGATATAATGATATAATAAATAATTGGTAAGACTCATGGATGACAGATGAAAGAAGTAAAATATCATATTAAAGCTAGATGTCCTTCTTACTATTTATAATCACATTCATGACTTCATTTACATGATAACACGTAAATTGATTGATTGATAGAACTGATAAAATTAGCATACAAATTGATGCAGTATGACATAACATATGATATATACACTTATTGATATTGATAGGCATATTGATATAGTACACTAGTATGGCATATTGATAGATGGGTACTTATGACACATCATTGATAGGAACATATGATGGAATCATTGGCATGACTAAAATTGATAGATAATTGATGTATGTGTTATTGTACGACACCTGATATTATTTTATAGCTTATAATTGATTTTCTTATATATTCACATATTCATATGCTTCTTGATAAGCTTTTTTCTAGTGAACCTATTAATTTCTCGATATATTGATATTAATTATTGATTTCTTACTCATGACCTATAATTTTATAATGATTGAGTTGAGCATGCATATTTATTCTTGAGACCTTGCATTGAATACAGTGATGGGTTTTGGTTGCTTGTTGGGTTATATATTCATTATATGAATTTTTTTTTATTTCAAGTCAGAGAAGGGATCAGGACCCTATAAGGTGAGCTTACAGGATTTTCATGTTTTTCTTTTGATTTTTATGTTTTAATTTATTCTTTTGTAGCTAGGAGCTTGTCGAGATAGATTAATGTTATAAGTAATCTCCTGAATATTATAAATTAGATTTTGTTGATTAAATATAGTGATAGATTTGGATGTATATAATTTATAGATTTATTTCCAATGGACTTATTTATATTGTTGATCTTATAAAAGCTTTGATAGATTAGATAAAAGATGAAATTTTTTCAATTTAAATTCAAGGGCATCATAGAGCCTATCGTGATCTGAGTTGTTTTAGGCTTGCATGGCATAACACTTCACGCCAAGAATTGCTATATATGACTATGCTTATAATATGAATTTACTATGTTTTCCCATGTTTATTTTTATCTTCTTCCATGGGCATCTTATTATGTTTATATCATATTAAAGTAATGAATTATTTAAGAGTTTTGGCATTGGTAAGTTCTTTGATAAGGGCATGGAAGTGATGATTATTCTTTATGTTGAGATTGACATCATTATAAAAAGAATAATAATCTGATGGGTTACAAATTAATAACATTATGCATATAAATGTTGGTGGAAAAAATACTCCTTTTTGCCAATGACGTCTATAATATCCACAAGTGACATATAGAGTGGTGTGTATGATGAATGACTCAAATGTCAAGGTGACATCTCCCCTTTTTAGGATTTATAATTATAAAGCGCGCCCCTTCTTAGTTGTTGAAGTGGAACCCTAGGTAATGTTTTGCTAGTGATATAGATTATTCATTAGTTTATCTTATTAATGTCGTAATTTATTTAGTTCATTTTGGGGATGCCATCGAGAATTCCTTATAGTTATAGAATGATGACGCATGTACATTAAATTCTTGAGATTGTACTCTTTTGCATTAATAGAGTTATTGGTAAGCTCCATCCTTTTAGTCAATGTCTTTCGTAGTTGCAAGTTGAGTGTGTGATAGAAAGACCTTTTTAGGATATTATGAATGAGCACTAACTTAGTGATAGTAGTATGTGCTGAGTGACCAACTTCTCGTATTAGAACCAAATGAAAGAAATATTAAAGAGACTCCCTTGACTCTTGCCTTATGTTCAAAAGAGACTCATGGTCATGGGGTCTAGGCACTATAAAATAGTAATGAAATGCTTTTAAAATCACACAAATTGATAATACTTTCTAGTGGACGATGAAAGAATTGTATACTCAGAGCAAAAGATATGGTCAATTCTACTTTTCTATATAAGAGCAAAGTAGTAAAACCTTGAATTTTTTTTTTGTTGGTTTAGTGTCTACAATTTAAATAGAAATGGGTACCTAGATTAAGCCTAACACTTTATTGGTTAAAGAGGGATAGGAATTTCCATGATACTCTCATTGGGGAGATAATGTTCATCACCTTCGAATGAAGCAAAATAATAACTCTTAAGAGTTTGGCTTCGTTGGTGCCCGAGAGAGACGGTCAATTCAAGGGCTTTAAGGGGATCAGAAAATGAGAAACTAGCAAAAAGCGCTTGAATATCCCTTAGATAATCCTTGCCATATATTCCTTTGTATTTTGCAACTATTTAAAACTAATGTAATCATTAGGCTACTCGTTGTATGAGAAACTATCTCAATCTTCATGATGATTAATG